CCCCACCCCCCACCCCCCCCCCCCGATCTGAGTTGTGCTCATTTGCACAAACACTCTGATGACCCTAAGTAATCCCTGTGTGTTTCTCTGCCTCCAGGGACACGCCGACTCGCTGGCAGCCTGCACCAGGCACGAGAGCGGCCATGCTGGTCAAAGTGAACGGTGTCAGACACGTACAGGAGTCCCAGAGTCCTGCAGAAGCCACCGGCCAGAACCCTCTGCTGTCCAGCCCCGTCCAACATGCCCCGGCCCAGAGACCAGCTGCCGCCAAGCCGGCCCCTCCGGCCGAGACCTCGGTGCAGGTTAAAGAGACAGAAGCGGGCGGGCTCTGTGGGGTGCGGGGGAGTGGCGCTCCTTGCCACGTGCCACCACAGAGCGAAACGGGGACCCCGCAGCCTGCCTCTCGCAAGCAGGCGTCTCCAGCGCCCATCTACGACGAGCCCTCGCTGGACTCCCCAGTCTATGACGAGCCTCCCGTGGATATGGACACTGGACATGCGGCATCTCCACAAGTATCACCAAGCAATAGCATCCGTAAGCTGCTCCAGCCAGCCCGATTACTGCAGCGCCCAGGGCAGCCACAGCAGCCCCACGCTGGGAAAAGGCCTGGGCCAAACCTTTCCAGCACCGAGTACAGCCCTGCTGGGAGGGAGTACATTAAACACATGGTCAATGTGGAGCATTCAGCCAAACTGCTTCCCGGCTCGGGGGCGGGGGCCGAGAGCCGGGCTAAGCCACAGCCTGCGCTGCTTTCTTCCGACAGCGTCAGGCAGTCCTGCCGGGCCCTGGAAGCCAATGCTCTGAAGCACCTGGAGGCCCAGCGAAGCCGCCAGAGCAGCCCCCCGGCTCAGGAGTACCCGACTGCTGTAAGTCAGCAGGATTCCGGCTACTCCACCGGCCCCTCGCCGAGCTTGCGGAAGAGGAGGGGGCGGAGACTGGGGGCAGGCCAGGGCAGACCTGGCTCTGTGGGCAGCAGCAGTGAGCTCAGTGCTTTGAACGAGAAGTTGCTGGCAGAGATGCGTGCCGTGGTGGGGAAATCGGCAGCCTGCAGGGGAAGCAAAGCAAAATCAGACCCCCTGAAGCCAGGTGCCCTCCAGCGCTCCAGGGACGACGTGACATCGAGCAGCCGGTCCCTGTTCAGACCGGGACTGGAGAGGAGGGAGAGCTGCTCGAACGACCTGGCGCCGCAGCAGGATGTCGGGAGGTCCAAGAGGGCCTATGAGAAAACAGACTCTTTGGAAAAGAATGGGGTGAACCAAACAAGTTTTCAGACCCCCTGAAGCCAGGTGCCCTCCAGCGCTCCAGGGACGACGTGACATCGAGCAGCCGGTCCCTGTTCAGACCGGGACTGGAGAGGAGGGAGAGCTGCTCGAACGACCTGGCGCCGCAGCAGGATGTCGGGAGGTCCAAGAGGGCCTATGAGAAAACAGACTCTTTGGAAAAGAATGGGGTGAACCAAACAAGTTTGGCTTCAGATGCGGCGCGAGCATCATCTCAGGTACGTCCCGGTGGCTACTGCACTTAGATCGCCGGTGCTGGCTCTAGCCCAAGTGCACGGGGCTGCCTGCTGGCGGGTCTGTACCTGGGCGCTGGTGCTGGGAGAGTAAACCACCCTCTGCAGGGCAGCTTGGGAAGTGGAGGATCCTGTTTCAAAGCAATAGGTGGGAATTAAGGAAGGCAAAGCAGATTTGGACCAGTTGTGTCACCCTGAATGTGGCTGCTTGACTTGATTTCCTGGTTTGTATTGTGGTGTCCTGGGCCAGGGCCATTGGGCTCTGTTTTGTGCAAATCCAGAAGAGCAATGGGTCCCGCCCCCAGGAGCAGGCAGGCCAAGACACGTGGGAACAGGGGCTATCTACTGGCAAGTGCAAGGAAACAGAGATGATCTTGGTTAGCATCGTGGGCAGCAGCCTGAGCCCGTGTGGTGCCCAGCTGCTAGCAGGTGCTCTGTGAGCCTCGTGGCCAGGGCGGGATTCGCTGGGGGCATGGAGGGTGCGGACAGGGCAGCAGTGGAGGAGGCAGGAAGTGGCGGAGGGGTTCAGAGCTGACATCTTGCGACGGTGGTGGCTGGAAGCCCCGGGCCCATTGAATCGCTGGGTCCCCTTGCCCACGTGGGCGGATGGTTGTGAGTGGAGGAGTGAAGACCGTGCACCAGTGTTGATGTGGCCGTGGCTTGGAGGCTGCGGGAGCCGAGGGGAAGCGCACGCAGCCCAGAAACCCGCCTAGCCTGGAAGGCTGCTGCCAGCCTGGGCATGAGGCTGAGCTGGCCCAAGCCCTGCCCGGGTGCAGTGACGTGGCTCCTGCAGGGGCACGGAGGGTCTGTGGGTCGTGCAGTGGGGAGGAGGCGCTTGGAAGGGTGTGCACTGGCTGTGGGGCACCGAGGAGCAGGGGGTGCGAGTGCCTTGCCTAGGCTGCGGCGGGTGCGGTGTCGGAGCTGGGCACGAGGGGAGGACAGGGGCTTGCAGGAGGATGGAAGAATCCACGTGGCTCCATGGAGGCCTGGCCAGTGCCGGCGAGCAGGGCCAGTGAGGCCGGGGGTAGGGACTGGGCCCTGGCTGGCTCGCCTGACCATTGCTGGGAACGGGCTCCAGCTGCAGGGCTGCCGCAGCGGGGCAGAGGGCACTGGGAGCAGGGCTCCGGTGCGGAGCTGAGGGGGCGGGCGGAACTGCGGGGCGATAAGGAGCCCGGAGCCCGGCCCTGCTCCCCTTGCTGCAGCACAGCAGGGCTGGGAGCAGCATTCGGAGCACGGAGGGGTGGGGCAGGAGCTGTGCTCCTGCTCTCAGGGCTCCCCATGGGCCAGCTGGCCAGAGAAATTCTGG